ATATATAAGTATGCATGATTTGCTTAAGCGGCTTTAGTCCATCGAGGCTTGAGCATGTCGATTTGTTAAATAATTCCATCAGTTGCTTGCTGCGAACAATCAGATCCACTATATCGATTATTAAACCAGTCATCTCAACTACCATCGTAGTATGCCAGGTTAGACCTTACGATCGAGTTTATCAATGGAACTCTATATTCGACATATTACTTTATTCGTCTAATCCTTTGCCTAATATTACTAGATTAGTACAGAGTGTACACTTCACATTGCTATTTTCTTTCCACTTGCATGCAGCATAACCCCCAATATATGAAAGCACACTGTTGGAAAGTATATGAGATGCCAGCTTACTGCCATAACGCAAGAGAGGTTTTATTTGTACAGGAGACGCTGAACAAAAGCATTCTCTAGTACAAGCCTTTTCTCTTTTAGCTCGTCAAACACAGTTTTGTGTAACTCGCGATCGTGACTACTATCAATATTAGCTCATACAGCATGTATTGCTCGTATCATGAGTGTTCCCTGCGAAATAAATATGCAGGTTTATCAAAATTACGGTTACTACCCGCCATTGATCGCGCAATACATAAAACTCATTTTAATTCGGTCGTTATTAAGTCGACCTGCAAGCACATACGCAAAATGCTTCACATTGAGTAGATATCGAATGCACGCAGGCAATGAGCACAAAGTGTGTGCGAATGTAAAAATGTACCCGATGTCAACCTCCTTGCAGGACCCTTCATTCTCTTATATTCTTCGACTGTGTACTGTCAATTTTCATTGTCGTCTTCGTCATCATCGATATAAATGTAGTCGGCTTGTTGTTGTATAGGGATGCTGTTGATGAGCTCCGAGTACCAATCTTCTTGTAGCCACCTCGATCTATCCTCGGCATACCTTTGACAAATATCCTCGGGATCTGTGAAAGGCATGGCTCGTGGATAGCGCTTTCTTTGTCCTTTAAAGCTGCTGACGGTAAGGAAGGGCTGAATGATATGATTATTTATCATATCAAGAAAGAAATAGGTTTCTTGTTCCGCCACTCCAAACTCTTTTCGTAATGGCATACCTAGTTCATCAGCAAATAGCAGCAAGGCTGGTGCACTCTGTTGCCTCTCAAGGTTGCTCGGCCAAACTGTCGTTCGGATGATGCAAACTCTTGAAACTAGTAAATTCTTATAGCGTGCGTACAATGTACGCACCTGTTTAAGACTGCAAACGCCCTATGGGAGGATGTCATATCCATCAGATAGTCGTAAATGTTGTTGCTGTGTAAAAATATCGAGTTCCTACTAGTAGAAGCACATGTTAAACGTATATTATAAACGTAGAAAACTTTAGACGTTATTCGTACGTTAAAACGCAACTGTAGGTATTTGTAGAATGCAAAAAAAAAGGTCAAACAATCTAAATTTAAATCTTTTGAATATACAAAACAAATACAGAACAAAATATTTATCTATAGATATTTGATAATACAACTGTATCCAAGAGAGGGAGACTATTGTAAATCTTTTTTGTCGATTTTAATATAATTATATGTTTTCTACCAATATAATGGGATATAATAATTGGAAAGTCTCAGGTGTGACACCTGATGACACATGTTATATTTCCAAATACTCTCAGCACACAACAATCCACTGAGAAGTAGGACATAAAATTGACTCGTCCTAACCAGCCTACTAGATGTGCCCATCTATGCCTTCAATGGGATGGAGAGCTAGGTATGTACCAAGTGATGGGGTATGAGTGCAGATATTTGACTGTACCCATTTAATGTTTTTTGTTTATATTATTATTTTAAGTTGCACTGAAATATTTTGTTATTAATTACGATTGGTTTCGAGGCATGAAATGAGACTGAAATGAGATGTCATGCATCTGATGGAATAGATAAATACAAACCGACGTAGTGAGTGATTAGGGCGGAGCTATTTAGACAAAAGTCTTAAATCCCTAATCTTTTACTTATTACCGAGGGCTGAAGCTAAACTTAATTCATTTTGTGCAATTTGACTTTTAAGCGTATTTCCTTTGACGGAAACATATTGGTGTCGTTAGTCAGCCTGGATAGTCCGAATTTTACACGTATATACTTAATTATGTGAATAGGGCAATATAAAGAAGAAGAAAAATATTCCGTCTATTCCAGTCCCTGGAAACTGGCAACTTCTGTTCCGAGAGTGCTAGTGGCCGATATCCAGATGGCATTGGAATGTTATCTGGCAGTTTCCGTGTTTGATTAGCTGTAGGCACCTTCTTCTCATCGTAGTTGATTCTGTTCATATCTATTGTGTTGTGTGTGCGTGTGGACAAAGTACCCTAGGGGGATTTTTAGACCGGACCAGAGGACCGGACTTAGGAGACTATTTAAGGACCGGACTAGAGGACCGGACCAATCAGTGGAATAGAGAATTTAATAGGATATAAGTGATGACTCATCCAAAACCTTAAGGATAATATTATTTATTTAAAAAAATGGCAATTATGTAAGATACAATGTATGAACATATGGTATGGCTCTCATAATCGCTGTAGTGGTTAAGGAAAGATTGATGGGAAGAAGTGGACAGTAAATTCCCGTTTGAAGCTTGGGCCATGTGAGTCGACAATGGATGATATGTGCAGAGTCAATTCGGGCCGGTGTTGACAAAACACTGTTACTATCGAATGTTCCATATATTCGCTTGCTGACCTACTAAGTAGAGTACCCACCTCTGTAGTACGGATCGGGTCTGCGCCGTGTAGTGCCGCGGAACGGGTTAGTGCAGAGTACGAAATACCGAGAAGGACCAGGTTATCCGTCATAATCCGGTCGAGAGGCGGGGATGGGGGTAAGCCAATGCCGCACCAGACCACGGATTGGCTGGCCTGGATTGAAAGTATCATAGTCGGAACCAACAAGCGCGATGATTTGGTTTGAACCGATATTTG